AACGCTTTGATATGGTCTCACTTGGCCTGTATGTCTCTCAGTTGCAGTAGCACGTGAAATCGCCACATGTTGAAGCTTGTCATTGGCGAGGGGGCACAACAGCACTGAAGCGGCAACTAGGAGGGGAAAGAAAAGTTGGGACCTTGGTCATAAGTGACAAAAGAACGTGGGGTACAAAGCAGAGATTTAGGATGCGGTTTACTGAGCTTATTTTGACACTCACATCAACGTATGATGTTTTCTTGCTTTCCCAGCAAGCCAATTGAAATCGACTTGGCTCGACTGAAGGTGGTAGGAGGATTCTTCGGGGGCAGGGGGCCGGAGATGTTGCACGATTGCAAAAAGGGTTTTAAACAGTCGGAGATAAGGCCAGCTACTTGTGTCGTCGTTGTTAGATTTTACATAGTAACGGCTCATCAGCCAACTTTATTGAGGCTCCGGAAATACTGGTCAAACGGAAAAAGGCTCGAAATACTGGCCGGTTATTTGCCGGATATCGGCCTCGCTCCGGTCTATCCCGAGCAGTTCCGGGTTTCAATATGTTGTTCTCATTGGATGGCGGCATCTGGAACCGGAGCTTGATTCTGGGGAAACGAACATCAAGCTTGGTATCTTGTGTACGTACCCTCCTCATTTCTTCAGCTTTGCTTGGCCATACGTGACTGGCCCGTTCAACAATCAATCAATTCATATTCATAATCATGGCTTCTTCTCTCCCCACCTTCCCACGTATAGTATTCACTATTATAGAGCCTATCTCTTTGTAAGATTTCATGACAGGGATCTTGCGCCCGACCCGTAAATGGCACATCTGCTAACATCAAAACCAGAGTTGTTGGTTTTGCTGGTGCCGTCATTGATCCAGCTTGGTTCATCGGAGAGCAATCTCCCCAGAAGAACGACGGTGATGCTTCTCCCAATAGCATTGTTATAGCCTGGCAGCTAGGGAATTTGTATTTGCTGCTAGCATTCATTGGGGTCGCGATCCTGTCAACCACGACTGAAAACCGAGTTGTTCGCTCATATCTCATTGCTCTTTGGCTCGCAGATATTGGTCATGTTGGCTTCAGCTCTTATGGGATAGGCCGGGATAGGTTGCTAAGCCCTCTCCAGTGGAATGCCATGGCTTGGGGAAATGTTGGAATGACGGTAAGCCAAGAAGAGGATCAGATGCTGTCATATCATCTCCAGTCTTATGGTTGGCGCTGACCCTTGGCTTAGTTATTCCTTTTCTTCACGCGAACAGCCTATCTCACGGGCTTCTTTGGGCCTGATCACGTCAACAAATCCGTCAAGACCGCCTAATAGTCATGATGCAAAAAACTATTTTGAGGCGACATCGACGACAGAATAGCCATGGCTGATGATTCTCAAGTTAGAATTTGGGAGTGAAACAGCTACTTGGAAGACATCGCTAATACAGGTCCGGTGGATTTATATCCTCTCTTCGTCCTATAGCCCATAGATTTATGAGAGAACCATAAGTTGCAGTGTGATTGTACGCATAGAAGAAGAGAAGATTAGACTTGAGGTACCTAGTAGTTACATGCAAGAATGTACCACTTTCGGTAAGGTTGCCTTACAGGCTGCTACAGTGAAGGCTAACATCTCCATCTCCCGTGATTTAGCGTCCGGGGTGGCTTGTTGTGAGGGTGGTCAAAGCTCTCAACACCAAGAGTTCGGTCCAGGGACGCGTTAGATGCCTTGGTGTTACCTTCGGGTTAGGGTTAGGGTCAATCATCACAACAGCGCGTTTTGGCGCTACCTAGGCTCAACCTTACGAATACACATCCATAAGCCTTCACGCAGTAATGAATACTCGAAGTGCTGCAGGGCGCTCAGAGCGTGCATCTGCTCAGAATGAAAATCGCGAACTGAGGCGTAGCAACCGAAGAAACGGCCCAGTTCAACGTGTAACAAGCCCAACAAAGAATATTGTTAGCCAGCCCGCACCTGAACCTCTCAGGGTTCTACTGAACGATCCGGTCGCTCGCCGTAACCCACCTCCTCAGGCTCGAGACGACATTAGCATCCCGTCGATTCCACTAAAGCCTGACGATGAAACCGAATTCTATGATGAGAATAATTATTCGCAACCGGAAGACTCCGGCGAAGAACCTGAGGATGTCAACAGCCCCATCGAAGAACTTCAACTTGGTCCAGTAATCACCACAGCACAGCAAAGGATCCTGGAGCTGAGCGTTCCAGACTTAGCAAGAGCTGCCGATAGCCTGTTTGAATGCTTTCAAGGAAATGAAGCTGACGATGTCTTCACTGGAATCTTGGCTATCAAGCGACGTGCTTTTCACACCATCAGAGGAGAATATGATGCACTTGATCAGTCTAACACGGCACCGTTCATTGATTTCGCGCACTTCGTGGATGACACTCCCACTCAAAACCAAAGCGTCAGGGTGACTCAGATCGCACGCACCAATGTTGTGACAGCTTACGACACGCTTTACAGGCTTGAGAATGAGGAGGCATCAGCCATCTTCCCATTTCTCGAATGCCTCAACCGGGTTTTGCCTGCATATTTTACCCCAGCTAATAATATGTTCCAAAGCCCTCAGAGCACATTACACCTCCGGACCTGGTTATTTGTCGAGGATCTTTCTCATCGCAGGGACGAAAAGGACTTTCGAGAGCTTCTTGTCTCTTATTTCTGCAACGACGAAGAGATTTTGAAGGATTTGGACAGATCGGGACACAAGGGTGAAGGGGGGCTTCCTTCATATCCACAACTTTTTTCTGGGGGTTACTTCAAAGACCTCGGCGGTGATGAAGGTGTCGATCACGATGTTGATGATCTCTGCTCAGGACGGATCGCTCAGATCAAGAAGATCATCGATGATAACAAGGAGGATGGGGGAATCTCTCAGCTAAGAAAGCATTTCCCCCTGCAGAATTTGGTGGAAGATCTCTTGGAGTGCTTTAAGAGCTTATACAATGTTTTGACGTACGAAGAGAGTGTGAGGGCGGGTACCGAACCTTCTCTACATGGCCAACAAGAGGCCACCTACAGCCAAGGTAATGATTACGGTTCGGAGTCACAATCAATCGTGCGTGTGGGAAGTCAGGAGGCAGAGTAAGTCCTATTCTTACCTGGTAACAGAGCTACATGTTGACCCCCCAGCAGGCCCAGTTTGTTTGTTGGGCCAAAGTCCATTCAAGCCTTGCGTGGTGGAAGTCGAGCAGCCAGTACTGTTCCCCCTTCCAACCAACAACTTGCAGGTTCCAGATCCGGAGTTCCCCGTGATTATCATGAAGATTCGAATGCCGACCTCCTAGGCGGTAGCCCATTTCCCCCCGCAAGTTCTTATCGTTTAGCTACGCAAGGCGAGAGGGAACGGGAAAGAGGGCAGAAACGACCGCGACTTTCCCAGGACGACGAAGATGGGGAAGATGCATTTGAGACCGACACTCGGCGTGTTGACCCAGCGAGGCGAGATGAGCTACAACGACAGATGCCGCCACCTCCAAGGCCACAACCTGTCCCGCGGCGTCCTCAAAGGCACGTTTCTGAGTCTTCATTCTCTTCAGGGCCCGCACACCCTCTTTCTATGGAGCAGTCATCGCAGGATATGGGGTTACGGTCAGTGTCGCAGGCACCATTGTCCTCCAGACCTTTCAACGCTATCGCAAAGGCCGCATCACAAAGGAAAAAGGAGGTTCGTATGGCAGATCCAGAGCGACAAGGACCACGACAGCGCGTTCCTTGGAGTGAGCACGACTCCCAGGTCCTTTTAGATCTTATCCAAGAATACGGTGTCCGTTGGTCGTCCATTGAAACCATGAGGGAGCGTTTTGAATACCCGCGCAATCAGCAGGCGTACCGCGACCGTGCTCGAAACCTCAAGACGGAAATTCTCATGATTGACATGCTATTGCCTCCGAATTTTGACGGCGTAGCTCTGAGCAATAAAGAAATTATAAAGATCAAAGGAGTTGGGAAGAATCCGTTTCGTAAAGAGGCGGATGTTGATGACGATAACAATCCCATTAACACTGAGCTTGCAGAACTCACCCCATTTTAACACTGAGTGGCATAGATACGGAAATGTGTAAATTCAGCGAGTCGTCATAATCATGTACAATTCTTCATTGGCGTTATGCTGTACATTATATTTACGGCGGCCATATCGCATCCCGCGAATTCTAATTCAGGGGAGACAAGTCCTTGCTCGCCGCTATGGTGTACATTCACAAGTCCTAGTCAAAACTACATGGCATTTGTAAGTCAATCCATAGTTGAAAGCACGAGTTGCGTAATGGATTTCTAGTAAAATAAGCTGACTAAAGAAAGGGCATCTCCTCCGACACCTTAGAGTCTACAGAGCCAGCTACATATATCATCATTCTTGCCCAGGCTCTTCGCAATGGCTGGCGGCATAGCTATTGTGTTTTGTACCCTCAGAAATGGTGCTGGTTAAAGCTAGTCGTGCTCTCAGTCCAGACAACAGCAAGAAGCGCCGGTATAGTGATGTCAAGAAGGGTACGATTTGTAAGGCGGAGCCATAAGACGCCCATACAGACCTCTCATTTCAAAACCAATGCCACAAACGCCAGTGTCTGAGAATGTTTGTGAAAAGAGAAAGAAAAAAGAAGTGAAGGGCATCATGAGCAGTCGATAAAACCTTGCGAGGCTAGCTCGTCCGTTGGTCTAAAAATCAAAAGCCGCGCGGTAGAAACAGTCGGGTGTCTCAATAAATGGGTATCAGCCGTAAAGGCGAGTTGAAGCAATTCTTATCTGCATAAAACAGTAATCTTCCTCGCGAGTTCAGAAATGTTATAACAAGATGACAAAGGGTATGCTGCAGTTTTCCGGGAAATGGTATAGCGTTAAAGTAATGTGAGCAAAGAAAGATAGTCGCAGTAAGAGCGTCTGGATCCACGCCGTGTCAAGCAAAGACATGGTTTAGTGACAGAGTGTCATCTGATCGTATGAAGGGCGTGTCAATCCCGCGTGGTTATGTGCTGTCTTCAATAAACAGCATTCATCAATGACGGTAGGGGACATCCCTCTGCTTGAGTCGGTTCGTTCTCCATCCCTCGTACCACTGTTCCCGACTAGCTTCACGTAGCTCAGCACGCCATTCGCTGAAAACAGCCTCTTTCAGACGTTGAAAGTCACAATGTTCATCATTGTAAGGATCAGCAAAACCCCACGGGAACTGTCGGCCAATAACACCTGGCTCGTACAGATCAGGACTGATGATGGAAAGTGGCAGGAAAGGGATCTCATCTTCCTTTTCTTTGGCCTCTTCTTGTGCTTTATGTCGTCGAATGGAGCTGGTGGATAGTCTCTTGGAGCTTGGAGAAGCGGCTGGGCTTTCTCGATGACCCTGTAGTGGGAATTCCTGGCTCTCGGGGGTTTGGGCACCACCGCGTTCGTGTCCGGCCTCATCTTCCTCTTCGTCCTCTTCGGCAATCCTTTCGGAAGTAATGCTACTCTCATCCTCATCATCAAGGCCAAGTGCCTCCAAGGGATCTAGGCCCGATTTCTTGATGCTGTCCCAAACGCTTCGTTTGAGAACATTCATATGCTTGGTGGTAATAGTATCGGCCTTGGCAATGACCGGAATCACAGTAGTCTTGCCCTGGAGCGTACGCAGAACCTGCAAATCAAGGTCTTCATCCAGACTCCCTAACACACGCGCACCAAGGTGTCCGTTTTGCTGACCATTGATAGCTGGGTTCCTCGCGGATGCAATGTTGCGATCCAATCGAGAAGGATCAAGGACAAGGAAGGTGGCATGGATGTGGGTGTCTTGCACACCAGGGGAGCGTACAACCTTCATTTCCTCTGCAAAGGTTTCCTCGAACTTGCTTTCAAGAAATGCGGACATTTCCCTAAGTTGAAGGTCGACTACATTCTTCTCTAGGCCTTCTGAGTCCCAGATGGTGAGACCGACACGCTCCCCGTCAATTTCAGTTTCAAGGTAGTGTGGAATGAAGTTTCCAGAGGGGGTGTTGCGATTCTGCGGCACTTCGTCATCACCCTTCTTGGCTCGTTTCTTGGGTGGAAGAGCGAGCGCTGTTTTGAGAAACTCGAGAAAGGATGTTTTTCCAGAGTTACGAGTACCAATGACGAGAATGCTGGTTTTGGGGTTAGCACACGACTAACAAACAAATGAATTATATTGATTAGAAACTCACTTCAAAGGCGTCGGGTCCTTTCGTCTGCGAACACGACGAGGACTGTTGACCGTGCTAATAGCACTACTAGCATAGCTGTAGCGGCCACGGTTCGTCATGCTTTCTGTTCTGGCATATGGATCAAAACCACCGTTGGGCAACGGCGGAACAGGGACGGCAGCATGTGCAGCAGCGCCATATCCACGAGGATATTCTGCCGAAGGTCGAATAGCAGTGTAATCTGCTGATCGAGGAACGCTGGCTGGTGACTCGGGGCGCAACTCGGGGCCAAAGGATTTCGATAGTTGTTCAGAATGATTGGCGAATTCGGGCAGCTTAGGAGCAATGCGCGTCGAGGCCTGGCGCTGTCGTTCAAGCTCAGCCTCCCTAAGGGCCTGCGCCTTACGACCACCTTTGCCTAGATCACCACTTTTGCTGCGTCGGAGTAACATGCCGAAACTGGTACGGCGAGGCTGCTCGTTATTCATCCTCTGAGGGATTGATCATGAAAAGGAAAAGAGTCGCGGCCAAGAGAAGGCAACCCAGAAGGTTAGAGTGGGCGGCGCGAGAAGGAGGGTGCGGAGCACGTGGAAGCAGCGGGGGGGTCCCTAAGATGGGAGTGGAGGATGGGGAGCAAAAACTAAATGGATGACTTTAAATGAAGTCGAGAACAAATGACAATGGATCGGAGTGGAGGAAACGGGAACGATCGAGACGGAAGGTGGATGGGCGTACGATAGTGGGCGGTCTTGGTTGATAGTTCAAAGTGTCCAAGCGAGTGGGCGGCACGAGGCAGCTGGTCGCAACAACTTCGTAGACGGACAATCAGCAGATGTCAACTCAACAGATGTCGACTGTTCTTCACATGCCCTCTGTCAATGACAGGCCTTTCCAAATAACTCTTGAGGAGCAGAAAAGGGGATCTATACAGTGGAGGGAAGTGATGCGGTTGATGGATTAGTACCTACCTGAGTGAGGTATAGAGCGCGTGTACCAGGTGTGGAGAGCCGCCAGTGCCAGTAGTGGGTGTAAGAGATCAGTGGAGAGTGTTTGAGAATTTGAGTCTCTGAATGAAGGTCAAGGCGTTCGTTTAGTTTGCAAAGGGGGAGATGAGCTGGACAACGTGTCTTGCCTGGTCTTTGCCGACGTTGATTCGTAGCCTTGAGATGAGATGGAAACAGGATTGATGCGCGTCTGCAGAGTCGGGCGCTTTTGGGGGGAGTTATTTACCAGGGGTGGCCCAGGCTCGTTTCGAGTAAGATAAGGCACCTGATTGGCTATGTTATTTAAGTTGTGGAAGGTCAAAAACGGCACTGATGGAGGTCGAGATTAAAGGCATGGATGGATTCGATAGAGCTTGGACAACGGAATTGTGCCCAAAAGAATACCAGCCAAGGTAGCACCGACTCTAACCCTTATACATGGGCAACTAAGTCTTAATGCCCAGTCGGACTGATTGCTACGTATAGACATCGGGCATGATCCATATTACCTGGCCTACAATACGCTTGTCGATGATATGCCCGAGACTTAGGTATCATATTGGATCGCTTCAAACAGTAGGATACACAAGCCTAGCCCAGACACACTGTGGCCTTTAGGTATTCACAGATGCCAAGCTTTCGGCCAGACAGCATGCTAAGGCTTCCTCTTACTTTTCCCCTCGTTTCAACTACCATATCATCTGAAAGACGTCAGGATTCGCAATTCATCGGCGCATTTTGTTCTGAGACGATCCCGGATGCGGACCCTTAAAACTGATTCGCTAACCTTCTGCAGCGCTAACGATGGTGCAGGGTCCAAGACAATCTGACTGGACGGGGTAAGGGGCATTAGGGGGAAGCCAGTTCTGCATGAGGACTTGACTCCGTTTATAAGAGACGGTGATTATTTGTCAATTTAAAGCCGCAGTCAGTGGTCTGAACGAGAAAAGGAGCCTGCCTATCTCCCACCGACTTTCTTCCTATATCATTGAACTCCAATTGTGTCTTACATACAACCCAGCCAATGGAACTCCAGTCTAGCAGCAGTCCTGAGTCTGGTCGCATGGTCCGTATCCTTATGAGCGGGGGTATCCTGAGGTGGAGACAGTCCGCCAATCTAACGCCACAGGCACATGGCTTTGGGCTTAGACTCCAATATATTAAGTCTGTGTCTTCGTGTCTTAATTACCTGGCTCCTGGTGCGGAGTACTCTGTACGTGCGGCCTTATAGCTGGCATTTTCGGATACAAGCTCGATGATCAGGACCGAATCCCAGTATATTCTTCCGTGTCCTTGTCGAATTCAAGCACAGACACGAGATATTTCTATGAGCCAACCAAAACCAGAAATCTCAACTTTTAGGCTGTATCGGATCGACCCACCGATGCAGGTACACGGCTTGTCAAGTGTCAACTAAACTGGGCTTGAGGAAGAGGTTAGATGCCTCCACCAACTGTATCCGTCGATAACAAGCATAAAGCGTCGTCCTTCTGGGCAACAAAAACACCTTGAAGGACATAACGCCAAAGCACGGGCGTTTCTTGTAGTTCTCCATATGTACCTCTGTACTTAGGCAAGGTGAGTAGGTAGCTGTATGAACAGGGAAGCTTAGCATTGTTGTGATAAAACACAGTGGCTTTAATTGCAGGGCATCCAATGCATGTAAGCGAAGAAACAAAAGGTTTCTAGCGCTAGTTCATTTACCGACTGATCCATTCACCTGGTCCTACCCAACCCAAGGCCTGTTTTTTCGACACTGTTCTAAAACGATAGCAACTTAGGTATCACTGCTTTGTTAGCTTATTCGACTAAATGCTATGTATGAACTTAAGGTATGAAGAAGTGAATTGTAGGTTTCCCATACGGACACTACATCCAGTTCTGGATTGAGCATATCCTTGAACATCTATCAATCCTATTTCAGTAATCTCCTCCTGCGCTACATCAATCAGTGAAAATGTTCACCTGTAAAACCGTTCGTGTCAGACTGACCTCGGTGAGCGAGGACAATATAAAGCATCTATGTGGCTACCGCGTGGTCGGACAATTGATACGGTGATAAGTCGAAATAATAGGTTAACGGCAACACGAGGAGGGCATCTACAAAGGGCACAAAATATTCGATTTGTGGTGACTACGGCTACCTAATGGCCGGGCTGTACTCCTCCCCTCAAATGCATCAGGTAGCCAGGATCAACTGGAACAAATCGTTCTTCAACATGCCACTCTCAGAGATTCATATCTGGTGACCTACAATACATGACTGCCTCCTGCGTTTACGCGAATCACCGGCTGGACCAAATAATATAGGAAATGAAGACACTCTGCAATGAGATATTGTGGCACCGCTTCCATCCAATGCCTATACCAATATATTCGAGTCCAATGGTCTGAATGCTATCGTGAACTCGTTTGCTGACCTTGAGAGGGTTCTATGTTTTGACTTAGGCAAGCCCACGATAATTACCAGGCATTGCCAATCGTCGTCTATCTATATGAACTGTACAGATTCTTGTTACATGAAAGGGGAATTCGTCATAAGTTGTCGTGACAGAGTAGTTTACATTTCCACCAGTCCTGTTGCAGTGGCACTGGCTCAGCCTTCAAAAACATCATGCTGGAGCTCAATGCCAAAGTCTTGTGCGACATCCTTCATTCTTTTTTCCATTTCATCCTCCATCCCTCCTCCAAGACCCAACCACTGGCGCAGCTTGAAGATGTAAAAGGCCACATCAGAGGCTGCCATGACAGTCTTGAAGATGATATGGCGCCAGCGATTCTGAAGGCGTTGGCTCAGTGGCAACTGGGGGTCCTCGAATAAACTTCGACTCGCCCACTCGCCCATCATCTTGACGCGGTTGACTGGTGATCCGAGATACTGGTTATTGCCTTGCACGATTCGCATATTGCGACCGATGAAAATCAGCTCTTGTGGCCACTTATCTTCATCAGTCAGTATCTCTCGGATGCCCTGCTTCATTCGCTTCTGCATCGCGTAATGCCGCTCAGCCGGCGTATTGCCTTCGAGCTCTTTCATTATCCCATTATGCGTGCGCTTATCTCCACCCTCATACGGCCGCAGTAATGTCGCGCTCGCGAAGAGATCCGCTGCCTTGATCCCCCATGCTTCTGTCACTTGTGATATTGTTTTATTGTCGAATGTCATGAGTGCTTTCCAGAAGGTGGCGTATTCATTTCTGAACTTCGATGACATGTACACATAGAGGCCATGGTCAATAAGCACAAGCTCGGCTCGTCCATTGGGCAAACGTCTGATAAAGATGTTGCCAGGGTGCGGATCGCAGTGGACGACACCCCACTTGAAAATCTGTGCCGAGAAGAGGTCCACCATGGTCGTCATGACTTCTCGCGTGGACAGGCCAAGTCCCCCACGGCCTCGTCGGCCTCGCCATAACTCCTGACGTTCTGGCTTGAGGTTCTCTTGAAATGGCCTTGTGCGAAGCTCAAGACGTGCAGCCTCAATATCAATTTGCGGGAGTGGGCGACCAGCGCCAGGAGATCCATTGCCATGCCCTCCAAGCCATCTCGATGTTATGGCTTTCTTATCCCAAAGCCTCACACCCTCGATCCACTCAGTCACGAGAACTCGCTTTGTCGTAAATTCGGGATAAACCGTAGGAATGTATACTCTCCCTTTCAAGGCTTTCTCTGCATTGACAAGCTCTCGCATTCTTTCTGAATTTTTGGCCTCATTGACGAAATCAGTCTCCAGCTCGAGTCGCTCCGTGATGAAAGGGACTAGTTTGTACAGTGGGAGGTCAAACCACTTAGAATAGATCCATGCGACGGTCCTGTTTTGCACCAGTGAGTACGTGGGAGTTAGCTGCGTTTGTCGGGCTTACTTGAAGGCCCATAGATCCCATGATATTTGCTTGGCAATCTCCCGTTTCTGTATTTTGATAGCGACTTCGCGACCATCCGCAAGTCTGGCCCAATGGACTTGAGCAACACTTGCACTCGCTCGAGCCTTGCGCTCCATCAATCCCATTCCCTCTTTTCCGGCGAAGCTGACGCCAAAGACCTCTTCGACACTTTTCCCAAAATCTTGTCTTATCACTGCTTCGATGTCACTCCAATCATCTTGCGGTGCGTCGTCAAACATGCGGCTGAACATCTTTTGGAATTCGGGAGGCAGCACGGCACTCTGCATTGCGATGGCTTGTCCGATCTTGAGATAAAGTCCACCATTGGAACGGAGAAGGTTGAATAGCCGCTCGGCATTCCGGTTATGCAAGTCCTGCACAGTCCCGCCAGTAATAGGTTGGGGTCGAAAATTCAGCTTGTAGTCGAAGGCTACGAGCAGGCCGGTTCCGAACGTATGTAGAGAGCGGCCAAACCCAGATGCGTATATCTGGCGGTCCCCGAGATAAATTGTACCTCCTAAGGCGCATGTCAAAAGCAAGCGCCGCGCCCACTGCCGTCCTCGTCTGTATTCCTTCGCCCGCCGCGGGGCACCAAGCTCCTCTGGCGACGGCGGTCGCATG